GTAGGTTACTTCCTGGAAGCCAACGTCCCCAAGGAGATCAGGCGACTGGAAACAAACAAGCACCCTGAAATGACGCAGGGAAGAAGGGGCATCCGAGACAGCTTGCGGTCTCAGGTCACGATAAAAACTCCATTAAATTTCACAGTTAGCGACAGTCGTGATTCTGCCGTCAGATTGTGCGACCCAGTTCCTCAATTAATAGTCAGAAAGACGCTAAATAATCGTGCATTTTAATGTGCAAATTGGCCTTGAGATCAGCTTTCTGCGGTGATAAGCATCATGACTGTCCCGGTAGTTTGGCCATCGTCCTCTTCTCCACAAAACTACACAGTCGCGTCTTCGACTCTAATTACGAAAAGTTCGAAATGGTCGACTTGGGCTTTGCTATTCAGCTTAAGGCCGAACTCCCATCGTCTGTGCTGATGCTCGGGCCTTTATTCTCACCAGACGTATGGAAAATTAGGCTACGAACTTCAGTAAATATAAAATTATTTGATGAAGCGAAAAACAGCACCAAGCGTAAAACCCGGATCTCCTCATTCGCATCCAAGCTGCGTGAGGGAATCATACATAGCAAATTTATGTAGGTGGACTCCAGGAAGCACAAAGCATCGCAGGTTTTTGACTTTCTATCTTGATCATAGTTGATTGATTTTGCGCCAACGTTGTTAATTTAGAAGAAAACTACAGAGCTGTAGCGGTTAGAAGTTGAAGTTCTTTTGAGGCAAATGTTACCTATAAATGTGAGAATTCCAAACGAAGCTTTTGAAACTAAAGAAAAGCCGGTACGATACCGAAGGAGCATACCGACAAAGGCAGGTGAAATTTAACTGGCCACTTCTGGTCTATTAGCCGTCATCAGTCAGCCTTACCTATATCCAAGTTTGCGGCACATTAAAGGACTTCACTTTGGAGAACACGCGCATTGGCTCCTTTGTCTCACACTGACCATCTCAAGAGTCCCAAAGCCAAACTTATAGTTTAAGGATGACTTGGGTTCAGTCTGTTTGGCTGTCTAGATAAGGTAAGAATGACCCGTATCAGAAACGAGGCTACGGGGCTAAGCAAATACCGCCAGATATTGAGAAGAAGACGACTCGATCGCTGGGACAATACTTATATTCCCCTGACGTTTCGAGATCCGTCGCGGATTCATCATCAGAGACATTAGCAGAAAA